CCGCAATGCTAACAAAATCACACACTGCAAATTAAAAATTGATAAAATAGGGGTTACTTTTATATAAACAGGGAGAAATTCGATAAAGTAGAAGGAGGATATTACCAAGCTTTCCGCGACGGTAAGTGTCTTTGACAACCCCCGCAAACCCTTCAATCCAAAAAATGTTGCTTCCTGAAATGAGAGACGATGTTACCAACAACAGAAGCACCGATCATGTTGCTATATTGAAACTTAATTATACAAAATTGAAAATAGAAAAGGGAAATTACATGATATCGAAACTTTTACGACATTGTTTCTATTTTGTTGCGTTAGAGGTCATTAAAAATAATGAAACAATTAAATCGTTGATTGTTTGAGATGTGAAATTTAATCTTAACATCAATCGTTTAATTCTCAAATGATTTCCAATCACTAGAACTTTTGATTATCTCTTAAGCGTGCGATATTCTTTTTCTCATCACCACCAAAAACGTGGTATGACAGAAATTTCTATAAGGAACTCTCATTATCTCAATACATTTGAATCAATTATCAATAAGATAGAAATAATACATGACAAATGCTTTTAGGTATGGGATTTACGTAATTTAAACGTACTTCATTCCGTTTGATAAATCCTGCCAGATCTCTTGATTACGCATTCTCAGAGCAAACGTTAATACAGCTGAATGTAGATGCAGCAACCCATGTGAAGACTTTTATTACTATTTTGGTGTTTGTCCCCTATACATTCATAATCGAAATCTATTAAAAAGACATTTACAACCTCTCTTTGAAAATTTTATTAGATTTACTCATATATGGCGATCAGAAATTAAGCAAAGATGATATCTTTTAATTGCAAACAAAGTAAAATAGGGATTTAATCTCTCTCTCTCTCTCTCTCTCTCTCTCTCTCTCTCTCTCTCTCTCTCTCTCTCTCTCTCTCTCTCTCTCTCTCTCTCTCTCTCTCTCTCTCTCTCTCTCTGCTATTACAGTAAGGTTGTGTGCACACAACAACCCTTTACTAAGATTTTTAGCAATCACAGTGAGCTTTTGTGCAAACTACAATCCTTTACAAAGATTGTTAGCTATCAAAGTGGGGTTGTGTGCACACTACAAATAAAACCAAAACAAAATCAGGCATCAGGAACATCACTAGTTAGTTTCTAATATATCGACCTTCATTTCCCAACGAGATCGCCATCGCCGTTCTTTTTCTAATTTCAGAAGTTAGTTTAAAAGTTAACAACCAATATGTTTCGATGTCTAAAGGCGGCTGCGATACTCGCGACCTAAATCGTATCAGCACACGAGGCGTATGTGAAACATTTCTTCTCTCTTCATATAGATTGGCTTATGAGAAGAATTGAGACACTTTTTGTGCCTTTAATTATATAAAATCCTAGCATTGTGATATTTATTATTCAAATAAAATTACGAACATCTCGGTATCAGATATCGAACAGGATGTGATGTTTTTTTTACAATAGCAAACTTTAATTTACTTACATATAAACTTTGAATAGTTCATTCGTCCCTTTGTATAAAATTGACTTCAAATTAATTATAATTTGACATAATCTATGAAAATATATATAGTTCATTACGTCCCTTTGTAATAATAAAAAAAATTATTATAACCATGAAACTTAGTTTTGCTTGGCAAAGATGTACAATTTGATGAAAAAAAGAAAATCAACTGGATAGCAGGGCTAATACTGGACTTCGGTAAATTTCTATAATCAAGAAATATTTTGATTGTGCTGTGTTACAACTGATTAATGAAAAATGTATAAATATACTTAGTTATGAAGTACCACCGTGTGTTATACTAAGCCATGATGTCACGTTTACTATAAGGCTATGACTAGTACAATAGATGAGATAATGGAATAAAGTCAGAAAGTTCCTCATCATTAAGTTATAGATATATAAATGGTTCGGGAATGTTTCATTCGAATAGTAGTTTGTATTTGTGTTATATGTAAATATGTCTTATGAGTAACAAAGTCTTTCATATAAATATTGTGCGTGTTCAACCACGTCACTGACTTCGACTCTGGGACAAAATGGTAGAGTTTAAACATTTAAATCCCCGTGTAATATCACGTGGGTGAAACTCTCCATATAATGTGTAAATAAAAGTTGTGTGTAAACATTTTGAAAACATAATTGATTTGGAACTCTCTTGGGATAACGATATATAAAACAGTACAATTTTAAACATTTCAAGATAACATTTCAAAAATACACCATTAGATAATTCAGATTGTATAAAACTAGTAATTAAGAACATTTTGTTAGATCATAAAGATGAACCATTGTCATTACCCGGTTAAGGAATGTTTACTTATAAATGATGGACACAAATACAAAGTACTGCTTAAATGTAACTTACATATATATTGTAAGGGTTAAATATACTATTTAGATAGAACGAATTGCATTTCAAACATTTACAATATTTGCAATAAAATGAAAATAAAAGTATTTTGTACTAATGAAAAACTCGGAAACGAAATGTAATAATAAATGGTAAGTACAGTTAATAAATGGAGAGCACAGTTCAGTTATTCCACAGTTAATGGTTTCACACGGCGTAGATACGAAATCGCAAGTCTTGAAGAAGGCACCTAATGAAAGTAATGTTCATCACATGATGAGTCTGCAGGTACGGAAATGATTTAAAGTTCTTGGTTGACTTACTACCGTCTAGTTATCCAAGACGTCATATCTCGCACAAAAAGGCTGAGGCAAAATTTGAAAAGTTGATAATAAAACATCACAAAGCTCGTCGTTAAAGTTCTAGTAGATGGGTTCTTTACTAGGTATGGTGACAATGGATACGATAGGGATCAGGAAATAAAGACTTCTTCTGTAATTCCGGCATTGAACTTCATCGGAAGATTCCTGTCCGTCGAAATGTTCTAGAGTTCTGCTATATGTACAGTATGAGATACAGAGAATTATCTATTATTGTGTGTGTTAAACCACATCACTAACTCTGTCTCTAACACATTATGGTAGAGTTTATAACAACAATGGTCACTCCGTGTTGGAATCACGCGAGGTAAAACTCTCCATAGTAGAAAAAACTAACAATAATAATAATTACAATTAAAATAGTGGATCTTCTGACGGGAGGACAATACGACGAAATTCTGCAAAAAAAAAAAAAAATGTTAACAAGTTGAATAAATTGATTTATACTGGTTCGTCTTCAATTTTTGGAGGTGGAAGTATATTCTGCAGCCATGGACAGAGCTGTGCTGGATACATCGGTGGCACCAATGGCTGTAATGGTTGTATTTCAGCTACAACCGCTGGGCTGAATATTTCACTTGGTGTTTGTCTTGATCTTTTTGGTCATTGACGTTAAGTTTTGTAAACTGACTTTTTGTCTTTTTCCGCAAGAAACATTTGAACCCTACGCATAACATACTAAAAATATTATAACGAGGCCTAAACACGTTAAAATAGGAATGAAATACTGTTTTATAATCTCAAAGATTACTTTCAATCGGTTGAATCGCAGAAAGTTCCTGAATTAAAGATTTCATTGGTATTTTCTCCATTGTTTGTAACTTATGTGGAAAGTTAATGCTTGAATAATTTGGAAAATTAATTTGGAATGGCTTCAATAATGTCCTAAATGAAATACACGTATTTAATACTTGTTGTGATGGTTGTGGTTGAGTACCAGCAGATATTTTCAAAACAAGCTGATGATGGAAGATGGTCACCGAATGCTGAATACGACTTAGGCACATGCATTAATTGAAGGGGTGGTTTAACAATTACATGCGAAATTTTGCCTGTATCGTGACATACAACGGAAAATCTTATTTTCATGTTATATGTAATGACCCATGAGCCATCAGTGATATGATACTCTAAAGGAAGTTGTAGACAAGGAACTACAATAGTAACACGATATTTATTTATGTTTAACTTATTGTCTGTAAACATGGCAACACTAAAGTGTTTACTTAAATCAGTGGGATATATTGGGGAAATTAATTGACACTGGTGTTAAAAAGAATGAGAACAAGTACGAATGTCTTCTATGTTGAGAAGTAAATATTTAGATAACTCTGGATTGACAGCAGTGGCTGAGGATTTCAGGTGGTATTTAGCAACAAGATTGCAAGAATTACATTCTTGGGGATTCGAAACTTGGTTAGACGGCGGGAGTGGCATTGAAACTGGAGTATCATATACGTTGTATAAACGACATTTGTTTAGAACATCCATTAAAGGTACATGAACAACAATAATAATTGTTCCAAGGCTATTAGTGTGTATTGCCTGAAACATGTGCCTGTTTATCGATGTCCAGCATCCATTGTTCAAATTATGTTCTGTCCCTATCTAAAAGTTTACCTGTACACTACGAATTATTACTTAGTATTAATCTGTTGGTAGTATTTTCTAATGCATTAAGTCGTTGTGACTGGTTATTGACACTAATGGCATTAGCCGTAAGTAAGTGAATAGCATATTCAGTTGAAGTTTGGGTTTGTTGATTTTCTTCCATTTTGTATTTTGAAAATGAATTATGAACAATAAAAAAGTATGTATATATGCAAAGATAAAAAACTAAGGTTCAAAGGTTGGTACGGATAAAAAGGTAAAACATCAATTTACTTACCCAACGAGTGACCGGTGATCGCAATATAGTTGTTTCCGAGTTCACGGCGACAGTAATGATGATTGCAGATGAAGAAGTCCACACGCTGTTCGGGTGTTGTAGGTTTATTGAGATGTACTCACATGCCTTCAGGAACCAAAACATACTGGCTAGAAATGTGGTCGTATTTCTACTAGAATTATACATGAACATGTGTAGTAGATCAGCAATAGTTTACATCGATGGTGAACGATGCGAGAGTTATCTCTGTTAGCAATTGTTTATCTTTGCAACACAAACTACGATCTGCTAAAAAGGTATTCCCATGAAAGAATAATTGGTATACCCTTTAACACTTCAAACATCCACGTAATTCAACATCTCACATCATCTTCGGTAGATGCCTATGCAATATAAAATTCATCAACCTTTTCGATTCAACGCTTGTAAATCCAAAGCTGTCACGGAGATCAGATTCTGTAAGATCACTCAACATGAATCCGTCGACCATGTCGGTTCTAAACACTGCCTCATATTTATCCAAATTCAACCTTCTCAGTAATTCCACTACATCATCAACGGTCATTCGAGCAAAGGCCATTTGAGGGTCGAAGTTCATCCTTGTTTGCTTTTCCCCATGATCATTTCGGGTTTCATATGTTACGTCAGGTACATTTCCTCGGTGTATACCTGCACTATGTACTTTATTCTGCCCCACACATGACTTTGGTTGACGTCCGGAAGGAAGCATGTCATAATCCACTTCCGGTTCAATGTGGTTATATGACGTCATTTTGTCTTCTTTTTCGGGCTCTTTTCTTCTTTCGCAAACTTTCATTAGTTCTTTTGACAATTTCATCTGGATACCCGTTCTATTTTTGTCGTAAAACGGAATGGACGTAAAATATTTCATCTCATCTTCATGAATATCGTCATCATCTTCCGTAGGATTTTTTTCAGATGAACTATTCTTTGATTTCTCTGTTCCTTTAGCTACAACGGGCAATGCAGTTTGATATCTTGGAGGCAACCCGGGCGGCATTTCCTCTTTCGGTGGAGCTGTTGGTTCTAAGTATTTCCGCTGTTCCGGTACCGATACCGGTCTCTTAAGGTCACGGATATCATCTAAGGGTGTGTAATCCTGAGTGAAGACCTTGGTGATTTCGTCATGTCCTTCCGCTAGTTTAATTTCTTCTAACTGACGTAATCTTTTTTCAGTTCTGAAAGCCGTTGGCTCCAGACTGCAAGTAGAGTTACTGTAGCCTAGATTTGGCTTGTATGACTGCCGAAAGTTACTCTCTGCAGACTCCTTTGGAACTTTGGGCCACTGTAGTGCTATGTAACGATCAGGTTCGAGGTATTCACACATTTGAGACTTAGCAAACGTGTTTGTTTTCTCCATAGTAATTGATATGTCTGAAATTGGAAATAAATGCAATCACTTTCTTAATTACTTTCATTTCCCTGAATAAAGAAGCATTGGTTAAAGAGTATCGATGAAGAGAAAAAAAAAGTACTCGTCACATGATCCTACAAAATCAAAGAAAAGTAGAAGTGGAAAGGATAAAAAATTAAATATCATTTTCCAGAATTTGGGGAATCTGTTTGTTATTATCATTTTGTCAAACTATTCAAAACTTACTGTGGAGACCACTTTCCGGAATGACATGAAGTTCTAAAAACGGTTACTACATCTACGCCGGACCACATTAGATGTAGTTATTAAAGATAGGTTTCTGAACAAAACAACAATATAGCCCTCTTATTCATTACATCGACAATTCGCTGATAATTAATCAAAATGGAACATAATACGTAGAAATAGGACACCCATGAGAATATATGAGACGTGTGCATGATCATACTTATACAAAACAAATATGTAACATTTTGATAAGGTAAAATTCCATTATACAAAAAAATGGATTCTTTTTATTGCTAGATAAAATGAGTACTAAATTGAAACTTATTTGTTTTTTTTTTTTTTTTTTTGTTTTTTTTTTTTTTTTTTTTTTTTGTTTTTTTTTTCTTATTTCCCATGTTTTTATTTGGAACTATGTGTTTTTGCTTTAAAGTTATAAGGCTTTATCAAATATTGCTGGATTACCTCTATTCCCATGATTACCGCGCAGATCAATATTCTGGAGAGCAAATGCGTACAGTTCATCCATGTAGAGTGCAAATTGACCTGCCATTCCTTTTGAAAATCCATCCACTAACCTGACCTTGACCTCTTGCATATAGAGTGGAATGGCTGTCACGTGTTTGTAATAAAGAGCTCCATTCCCTAATTAACAGATAGATCTCTATGTTATCATCAACTTTCATTCCATGTGGTCATTGTTTCCTTACAATTCCATTTAATTTTGCATTTTATGTACATGTATTTAAAATACGTAAAATCTATTAAACAACTCTTAATTTCTTATGTAATAAAATGTTAGAAGTTCCCAGTATTGTCAATAACACATGCGTCTATGATTTACCTAACATGTTCGTATCCCAATCATATAATTGTCCTATGTTAAAGTTTCGTTTCATTTCCTATGTACATGTAGCTCTTATTTGGCGTGTTTTTGTAATTTGCAGGCTTCTATTGACTAAATCATACGTCACCTTGGTCCAAAAGGTTGCCAAGAAGATATATTTCCTTGTATTTTCGCATCACAAGGAGATTTGAAATATTCGATGTAGTCGTGGAGGTCAGTCCTACGCTCAAACTGCGTCCATCCGTCCGAGACATTTGTACTTGGAATGGTGGATCATACTTCCGGAGGAGGGACCACATAAATTCCTCGGATCCAACTGTGGGAAACGAAAAGTGAAATTAGCATCAAGGAATACCGCTTTATTTATCTACATACCCTTCAGTAATTATGTAGCTGTAATGGTTGGTCGGATGGTCATTTTTCTTTTTTAGGAATTAACATAATTTTAGATACATGAATGAAAGACAACTAGAATTTTTAAAATTAACTTTTGCATTGTTGTTGTTTTAAAGGGTTAGTTTAAGTAAAGTTCGTTTTGAAAGTCAAAATCAATCTGTTGCAGCATTTCTAAAGGTCATAAGATCATACAGCCTAGTGCTGTGTGTATATGGGTATATATTAAATATGTCTTCATAAACTAATTTGAATGACACCCATACTTAGTGTCTCTAGATCATACCACATATCGACCGGATGCAATTTACGCTAACGAATTAAAAATTCAATAAAAGGATTTAAAAAGTCTGTTGGAACCACACATACAGATTAACATCATGCACGGCAAAGAAGGGAAATGCATTGCTTTATGACTAAAATTTGCCTACAAAAAACCTCATCAGTGTATCGAAATTCAGCAGATCATAACGGACTTAGCACGTTCGACTTTTTAACGGCGATTGAGAGTGGACAAAGAGAACACTACATTTGGGAGCTTTGTTCATGTGACAACCAAAGCTTGCCAGGAAAATGACATTTGGCTTCGTTTTGAAGACGTGATATCCTGCTGTGTGTATATATATATTAAATATTTCATTCATTTCAAAATAAACTAAGAATTTGAATGACACAGCAAATAATTAGGGTATTACATTTGTAAATTGTACAATCAAATTCGGTTTCCGGATGCAACTAATTGTATATAACGAATTAAAAATTCAATAAAAGGATAGCTTTATTTAGCTTTAAAAATTTTTTTGGAAACCACACATACTGGTTATTTTAAATGTGAATACCAAAGAAGGGAAATGCATTGCTTTAAACCGTGTATACTAATGACGCTACACCCACATAGACGATTTCATGAGACCACTATGAGAAAAATACTTAAGGGAGGATGGTGGGCGAGAGTCTGTCTCAAAAGGGACATTTAAAACGTCACTATGTCCAAATAGTACAACATATTTAAATGAGTTATTTGAATATGCAAATTGGATTTTACTCTATATTTCCGGTCTTCGCTTGATCAAAGACTACATATTATAAAAAAGTAATACACAAGGACTAGAAAGATTAGTTTTTAATTTGCGAGTGAAAAGAACAGTAGATGTATGTATTACCTTTTCTTTTTCTCTTAACCTTTTCAAAAATTATTATTGAATCGTAGTAAAATGTTGAAATGAACTATTTATATTTCATTTAACTACACGTGATCAGCTACTAACATATAATTAAATCCAGGTTAGCTTTTGTAACGATTAAACATAATTCATGGAAAATGTAAACGCACAATGAAAGAGTCAATTTACACTGTAATACAGGTTATCTTAAATAAAAATAAAACAATGCATACAAACTTCGCTTCCCCAGTAAGAGATCACACTTGTGTAATGTATACTATGTATATAAATATATATATATATTTGTGTGTGTGTGTGTGTGTGTGTGTGTGTGTGTGTGTGTGTGTGTGTGTGTGTGTGTGTGTGTGTGTGTGTGTGTGTGTGTGTGTGTGTGTGTGTGTGTGTGTGTGTGTGTGTGTGTGTGTGTGTGTGTGTGTGTGTGTGTGTGTGTGTGTGTGTGTGTGTGTGTGTATATGTGTGATAAATCAAAATTCTGGAAGAAAACTGAAACCCAATTTGTAAAATTCATGCATACTTTAAGTACTTCAAACATTTTCTTTCCGTTTCAATTCTGAATGGAAAAAACTAAAATATACATAAGGTTAACACTCACATTTTTGCAAATCCTATAATGTTATACCACATCCCAGAGAGAGAGAGAGAGAGAGAGAGAGAGAGAGAGAGAGAGAGAGAGAGAGAGAGAGAGAGAGAGAGAGAGAGAGAGAGAGATTGAACGGTAGGTAAAGGTGGAAAACAAAAAATGAGAATGAGAAATTATTCAAATAACCTAAAGAACCACCACAAATAAAAAAAAAGGACAGGGGAGGTAACTCTACCATCAAGTCTGCTCTCCACACGTCTGAATTTTATTGGGTATGTAACAGGGATACTGAGGAGGCATTTGTCAGTACACACAGCCGGGACATGACCTCTTGTCATCACCCTCTTCTGTTTGTATACCGCATGAATGAAGAAATACTACAAACAGAAGAGAAAAAAAAATCATATTTCCATAAACGTGTTCGTTTTTTTATGCTATGTAAAATACACAAGTAAGTAATACTTTTCAATACCAATTTAGTATCAGATTTAATAAAGTCAAATAATTAATACAGCTGCACCATTCAGCTATTCCGTTCTTCTAAGACTTGGGGTGCGGGGTCAATACTGACCAATAGAAATGTTATAGCTATCACGATTTGGAGTTTGAATTAGGATTGTGTAGAAATGTCGGTAATTACTGGATGTATTTTTCATGGTGAAAATCTCTCAATTTCTTGACAGATCAGATATTTAACCCAGTTAACATATGGTGCAAGCCTAAATAGCACAGTATGTCAATTTATGATTTCTGGTGGATAACACATTTTCTGCGTTATGTTATAATGATATTCGACAAGATAATTCGTCTTATTAAAAAAAAAAAAAAATTATCTCCAAAACAAATTTATGACGGAGTTTTACCATACGTAAATACGTAATACGACCCAACATCTTGACGTAATAACTTTATTACGTGACGTCATATGCCTTGTGACGTCACAAACACATTAGACATAGACTGAGAATATCGGCAAATCGGAAATATTATATCAGTCTTTTACAATATGATTGAATGATGAACATGGTCATACATGAGATTTTTACTCTATTTACATATTATACACAATAATGATACACCTCACCTAAATTCGTCTTTGCAGTAATTTGAAGCACATGTATATAACTTCCTCATATCAGACCTTGTTTACTAGATATAGAGTACTGCTGTAGGTCATTAGAAGAACAAACGTATACGATTAAAATGGGTATTTTCATGTATACCTGTGCTGGTCCAATAGTTTCTACGTTATTGCTTCCCTTGAACCCTTCTTCAATGTAGATAATAACCGGAAGATTCACATCTGATTCGTAAAACTCTCTTAAGGTGTAGATCTTTTTCTGATTTCTAAATACTGACGCCATTTTGGTTAGAGATTATAACTGTTATATTGTTATCATACTCGGTGTAGGGTTTTCGCCAGCTGATAAGATCTATAACTACCATGTATACAAGATAAAAAAAGGTATGTTGACATAGCCCTTGCTATTGACAGAAACGAGATTAAATATTTCTATATACGTTTGCTTCTGATGTAATCATACATTGATTTTTAAGGACATGCAGCGAACATCGAATAGAGTAACTAATCAGACATTTTTTGCCGAACATCTGTCTAGTAGCAAGGGAATGTAAGCTCATATTCATAGATAAAAGTAGGTCGTCCAGATAAGTTTTTGTTATATTTTTGTGTTTGTGAGATCCGTGAAGAGATGCACATGTATACATAACGTACCAGTGTCATTTTATTGTCCTTCAACAAACACATTTTAGTGTATAGACGAAACAATGCATTAATAAATTGTATTTGTTTCAAATCACTACTATTAATGATGTAACTGGAAAAACTTTTTGTTCTAGTGTTGATTCAGAATATCCGATCTTTACCTTAGAGACGATCGTTCCTACAGTTAAAGGTATCGTACATGTTTGAAGCCTTGAGACTCTTTGTTTCGGTCATTAGTATGCTGCTTATATTTGGTGATCTGATTGAGAAATTTCTCGGTAGATGAGGTATCGTAACGTTTTAAAGTCATGGGCCATTTCGAATTTCATCTATAGACAAACATAGCCAATATAAAATATTGATATTTCCACTAAACTTGGACTCAATGTACCTTCCAAAATTTTTTCAAGTCATTTTTCAGTGTACTCTTAAGTTGGCGTATGAATACATTTTTCATTCTAAAGTTGGAGTTGCCTCCCTTGCATTTCTTCACTTCTCATACAGATGTGGTTTTGTTAAAAAAATATTACATTAAAATAATATTTAATTTTGAAAATATTTCAAAACAAATATGTCATAATAAGGATAAAAAAAACACTGATTGGAAAAAAATCAAGTTTTGGTGTTATTCATCCAGTGTCGTCTGCTTAGTTAAAATGTCAAACTTTGGTAATTTTTAACTTCTAAGCGACATACAAGATTTCGATGGAACTCCAGATTCATCATCAAATCTGAACTTTGAATCTGACAATGAACTTCTGATGGGCATTTTAATGCCTGGTATTGCTATTTAAGAAACAAACACTGAAGAATTACAATATTTGGCACAAAGTGAAGTTGCTGGGGATGTCGTGAACATGGAATCCGAAATAGATGAAAAAAAAAAACAAACAGGATCTGAAAGTAACAGAAACACCCATCAGCCCACATTCAGAAAGTCTGAGGTTTAAGAAAGTCAATGAAGCCGAGTTGAAATGGTATGAAGACATGACGCAATCAAAATCAACAACAACAGAAAAACACACAAAATGGGGTCTAAAGCTTTTTCACGGTAATAAACCACTTGTAAAAGTTGTTGATAATTTGACGATTGTTGACAGTTGCACACTGAAAAATACAAATACAATTCAGACATTTAATTTTAAACCTGCCATTGTATCGGCACCTCACATTATACTTAAGTAAAATACTGATACTTCTCTGCATCCAATACCATTTGCTGCCAGGCCTAGTTGAACTAATTTCTATAAATTATAATTCTAAAGTAATCTTTAACATAAATTTACTTTTTGCACCACAAAAGCCACAGAAAGTGCATGAAATTAAAATAGTAATGATAATAAAAGAAATCAAAAGAATATTTATCAGTTTAAATTTGTTTTCTTTCTCTCTGATAGTACTGTTACTTTGCTTTGCAGAATTACACTTTTTTTAAATTTTTCCCAATTTACGCGTTTACTTGTCAGTAGTGTACCAGTCATTAGCAATTAAGAGTCAATCAGGAGATATAAATACAAAATAGATGTAATCATATTGAAGATTGACACAAAAAATGTCGTGGTACTGAACTGGATACTACAGCAGTGTCCAAAGAAATATTGGCTGAACAAATGGGTAAATTCTACTGAGAGACCCAAGACAAAACCAGGAGATTTCACATCAAGTGAATATCACAAAAACACACTAAAAATATCAGGGCAGCAGTCAATTGACATTCTCAGGACATAAATTGAGTCGACATTGACATTGTAAATAGACCAGAATTCAAAAAAGCAAATAAACTCTTAAATGGTCTCCTGAAGGAAAGGTTGTCACCTGGACTGTCGCGCCCAACTCAACATAAATAAATAGTAGAGAGAGGAGATCTGACAAAAATATCTGAATATTTCAATGGGGCAGAAACATCAGTAATAGTTTAGAGACAATGTGCCTGGTTTAACATTTCTGTTCATTTTGTAACGCGGGGACTCGAGTTCCATCACCAGCTAAAGCGTGACTCGTTTGAATAAAAACAGATGAGAACGGAATTGAATACACCACAGTAAGGTATGAAACAAAAGAGAATTCAGGGAGGGATTTCAAATAATGGGTTCTTTTAATTTTAATCAGAGACTGAATCTGATTCCAATATTTTAGTAATCCACAAAGTCATCATGACCATCAGACCAGTTTCGTAAAAATGGAAAACTTAAGAACCTTTCGAACTTATCTCGGATCGAAGATCATGGGGACCAAGAGTGTCACCAGGACCAGATAAAGAATAGTAAAATCTTTCACCCCCTTTGGGGTGAGATAGGGGTATCTCAACCCGAGGGGAGTTATTAAGTTGTCAAACACGAGGCTTGCGGAGGATTTGAAAGAATTTTTACTATTTCCCTATTCGGCCCGCCACTCCTGGTCCAAGGTGCCGGGACCTATCATTTGTACAAAAATTGAATTCCCTTCCATTCATGTTCACATATATTCCATCTCACATTCAGGACTATGATGGTACATATAGCATAAAACATATCACAACACTTCCGGTACTGTGAAATATACATGCCATACATTATGGACACATGAAATACAATCCTACACCGACAGTTACCAACATTGGAATGATAAATAGACAAGCACAGTTATGCTTCATTCTCATAAAGGCATATAAACGGATGTCATGCACTGTTCTTTTCACACTATAACTGAGTGTGTATAAGGACATTACATGTACATATGTAACTCCCCTGTGTGTTACCTGTGACAATCGTGTATGTGGCTATGTTATCAGAATTCGGTAATGCATCATGTCTGGTCGTTACCTCATATACCCATACCTAGCACAACACGCACAGGTTTGCTTCCAAGGTCATTATACTGAGTTAGTATACAAATATTTTATCTTAGGTATAACTATGTTTTGTCACGTGCAAGTATCAATATCAGCCATCAATCAGTGAATAGATTGTTGGTCATATTTCTCGAATTCTCGATCATATGTTCTGACGTCATGAATGAGACCGTCTACCATTATCAAAATATGTTTTTTTTTACTCAAACCATTTTTTAGTATCGAGTTTCAAAGATTGGAATGTTTTACCTCACGAACTTAAGGGGATCAATTGTTTTACTACTTTTAAAAGACTACTAGTCAAACTTTTACTTGATTTGTAGACAATTTTGCAAGATACTGCTGCTTTTTACTTTTTAGAGCAACCACATCTTTTATTTGTACACTGTATACTTTTCAATAATGTATGTAATCATGTGATTTTTATCAGGTATCCAACAGATGAAGTTTATTGTTTACTCATACATGTTGTTTTTACTAACCCATTGATATGTACTTTTACTAACAAGAGGACCATGTGTTAGATAAGCCTTTGGCTTAACATATATTTATCCTCTGAAAATAAAGATTTTTATTATTATCATTATTATTCCTACTTTCGGTAATTCCTTGTTATACAAAGCAAGAGGAAAGCTGCCACAGTGAATTCATCACCAGATTTAATACTACCAGCATCTTGTATAATAAATTCACATCCTATATTAATTGAAGAGAAGTAATAAGTGCATACAAACAGATTAGGTTAACTGCACTACACCTGTCACTTGCGTGTTGTATCTCTAAAGATAACTCTAAAATGGCGGTTTCTCAGTCGTGATTCTAATACGGACAAGGATGTTTGTAAACTTTCTCAAACGCTAAAGGTTATTTATATAATTCATATAATTTTATATCAAGGTTAAAACTGATTTGTTATATTAATGAAGAATCTTAAAGGAAAGGTATCCACCATGACGTCCATATTGCTATATCTGTATACAATCTGGAGTTGATGCTTTACGGAGTGAAGTCCACCCTGTACTGTTTATCTATTGCTTACCACACCATAAATGTATGACAAGATGTGTATTAGTCAATAAGGTTTCGGAAAGTGAAATGTGGTATCTAATATTATGTAAAGCCCACCTGTGCTGTTTTCTTCTAATTCATGCTTAATAGCAATAGTCGGTTGATTAGGTTTCTAAACTGAAATGTTCTGTGTAGTCTGAGATCTCCTACAACATAATCTACATGTCTAATTTGATAAAATACCGAGGCTTTATCTCATTCTTCAAAATCCAAACATAGATAAATCAGTTTTATGAAATATGTTTATTTTGAGTCGTGAACATGGTTCAAGTGTACTAGAAGTAGCGACATTGCCGAACTGTTGCATTGTTTACAATATCAGCTGATTTGATGTATTGGGGTATGTTTATGATTATTTGGAGCCTGTAATAACTGTAGTTATCTAGAATAAACTGAACTTTGAATTATTATTAATAGTACTGATTGATTTTCTTATTGTCTTAAGGAATTTTATATTTCAATTGATTTTCCAGTGAAATTTAGTTATAAATTATAAAAAAGTATAAATTGTTCGGAAAGGGAATTGTTGAAGGAAATAGTGTAATTCCTTGATAATATGAATTGTTTATTGTGTGAGAGATCCCCACTGTACCATTGAACCCCTGTATCACTGTTTTGTAAGATTAATCTTTTATGATGTGTAAATACTGTTGTGTTGAGTGTTTATATCTCTTATTGTCTAAACAAATTGTTGAATTTACAAATTTCTTAGTTATCTGTTGGTAGCGTCCAGGCCGAACAAGGTATTCGCCCTCGGGCACGTCACACCTTAAAATCCAAACATAGATCAGTTTTATGAAAAATGTTAAGGGATGTATCTAACTTGACAATGAATTTTATATTACTATTGGGATTGACCAAGATTGATATGGGGGTTATCGCCGACGAAGCAAAAAATACCTTCTCATTCGGAACACCTGGTCTTGTTGCACTTAAAGCGTTGAAAAGACCAGGTGTTGTAAAACAATATACACGTAAAACACAACTAAAACTGTGTTCCGGAACAT